CATCAACCATGAATAATTAGCTAGTCTGAAACTCTCTGTGATAAAAGTATTTTTTGAATGATTTGTTATTTTCTACATGTTGTTCAAGCATGCATACAATTTTGACATTTACTGTGAATTTTTGCTGTACTGTATCAGTAGTAATATTTTAAAAATAAACCTGATCTAAATTCGATCACAGAATTATTATGATAATTTAATTATTTGTTGATGATATTTGTTGACAGGATAATGTTATACAGGGCTGGTTTATGTGTGAAGTACCTATATATCGGAGACTATCGATACTGTTATGCTGAAAAGGGGAATGGAACAAGTAATAAACCAACAATGTTGTTCCTTCACGGTTTCTCATCGTCCAAAGATATGTACTGTACTGTTGTTACGGTTAGTCAATTGAAATTAATTTTTGTTGACAGTTTAGAGCATGAATGGCTTCTTGCTATCATCAGAAATAATTCTTATACCAGTGAGAAATGTTTAAAACTGAGGCTATTTGGACAACCTAAGTATGGGTTGCTCTTAAAATCCAAAATTGAGGTGGATTTCTGTCACTGTTTAAATTTAAATTGCATAGTGTGCCACAGTTTCATAGGACATGTAATTGAAGAATCAAAACATTCTGTACTTGTGTGTATATATATATATATATATACTATATAGTATAGTATAGTATATTTTATTTGACACTAAATAATATATTTTGTTACATTATCTGTGGTCAAAAGACATTAAATATAATAAAACACAAGTACACACACGAGACAAAAGAAAATACATAAATAACTAAAGTCTAAGTAAAATTACTTATAGTAAAATAATATGTTGTCAATAAATTTTGCTAGCACCATTGGCATTGAACTCATCTCTCGAACTTAAAATTTCTGTAAACATTTGTTGTTTTGATAGTTTAAGGATACTTTCATTATAAATGCTAACTACATTCAGAAATTCAGTACGAGCATTTGTTATTCCAGTATGGTTTCAGTCTAAAAGTGCATGGATTTCATTGCCAATAGCCCCATTGTTACAAAGTTGTATCTATCAGTAGTGCATATACTTACATAAATAACTGAGGTGTGTCTAAAGTCAAAATAAGTCTTATTATAATGATCATATAAAGATAATAAACTGTTGGTTTACATGTACTTCTATTGGAGGTACGCTTCTAATAGAGCAAATACAGTATCCTCAACTGCTGGCCATGCAAATATTTGCATAATATGTGTGGTTCAACAATATTAAATGCCCACATTTGGATGGCAACAAACCCTCCATGATTCTTTCAATCACTTCAAGGAATTCAGATAATTTTCATCTGAAATATTATGGAAAGTTAGAATAAGGGATGTGATCACAATCAAACATACAATTTTTGGCTCGGTGTCCTTTGAAGAGCTCCGTAGAAAAAGTAGCTACTTGGTGTTAATAGAAATTGGTTAAAAGTTAAGGGAGCCGAGATTTCCAATTTGTATTTAGTGCCAGTATGTCCAAGTCAATGAAAGCATCTTGTTTATATTCACGCAGTTTGATCTTGATGGTTTGATGTAATGGTATTTTACTTAGGAAACTGTATGTGTACCACCGATCTAGTATTTTATCAAAGTTGTGTAGTCACGAAGTTATGAATTACGGCATTATATAATCCCATCCGAACTGAAGTTTCAGCTCATGAATATTCTTGCATAAATTTGCATATAGCGCTAAGCTTCCCGGGGAACAAAGCAGCTTCTCGGAGCTCCGCAAATACTGGGCCGAAAACCGCTGGTTTGATTTTGATCACCTCCCTAAGTCAGTAAACTATAAAACTTGGAAATGACCTCAGAACAACTACAATACAAGCACAGCAATATATCTGTGTAAGTGCATGCAATTATAATTGAGCAAAAGCAATATTCAGCAGTGACTCCAAGGATGACAATAGAGGGCGGTATTACTAGGCATAATGTACATTGCATTGTTATTGTTTACAGGCATTGGCCAAAGATCTGCACATAATTCTATTAGACATGCCTGGTCATGGATACACAACACAGAAAGTCAAAGATGATCACTCGTTTCTAGCACAAGCAAACAAAGTACACCAGGTATGTTTAATTTTTTCTAAACATTCAGTGATAACTTGTATGAAAGCAAACTGGAATAATTTCACTGATGATTAAGAATATAATGTCTGGCATTTCAAAACACGTAAGCATTAGAGTTGCACATTAGAACAGGTATACTTAGACTATACATGTAGTAGGCAATTTTTGATGCAAGAATTGTTTGGGGCTAATCAAGGAAATGACAATAGTGTTCCTTCTGTTCAACCTTTTAAAATGGATAAATTGCTGTTTATTTCTGACAAACTATTAAATACTTCTTCAAGTGGGGTAGGGGTTAATATGTGCATCTTGAACTCATGTTTCTTATATATGATCACACGTTTTGTTATAGTTTGTAGAGGCTTATGGTTTGGACAAATCTGCATTTCATCTCTGTGGTACTTCAATGGGTGGTGCAGTAGCAGGAATATATGCTGCATTATATCCACATCATTTGGTCAAATTAACGTTGGTTTGTCCTGCAGGTATGTGTAAACAGTTATTTCATCTTTAAAATGCGTTTCGTCAAATGTATCCGTTATGTATATTAAAGTGCATGACAATTTGTTATTGTTGATAAAAACAGTTAGAACTTTTTAGTTTTGTTCAACCACTAACAGTGGATGTCTGCTCAATATTTTCATTTATTTTAAATTTGTGATTTGAATTCCAAATTCATATTTTTGTCACCTTACACAACATAAACTGGCATAATTGTTTTTTTCATTTTTTTTCAAAAATGCTGAAATTATGTCTAATTGCTCCAAAATTAGGAAGGAATTAAAAGAAATAAATCAAAATGTTATGGTGAAAATGTTTAAAATGATTTGAATATTGTTTGAACACAGAATAGCATTTTTATACATTGATTGATTACTGCTAACGGCTTTGATTTTTACAAGGCTGTGTGCTCCACAGGTCCTGTTGGTTAAATGTCAAACTAAGAAAATATTGTAAAATTATTTATTTAACTATCACACTGAATAAAAAAATGATCGCGCACATCTCATATGCAAATTGTATGAGATATTTTTTTTAGTCTGAAAACAATGTTTATATTTTTCTTGGTTATTAGACTGTGTAGAAGCACTGTAGCTTTTTTTATCACCATTGTTGTACACTGTTCATTAGTACCAATATGTGACAATACAATATGTTTTTGTATTTATTAGGGACGACGTCAAAAGATCGATGTCGGATAAAAAACTTATTTGCTTTAGTTTGGGGATAGGTTGACCTCAAAAAGTTTCCATCCTACAAAAACTATTTTATTTTTTAATGAAGTCAAAAAACTCTTGGAGTATTCGTAGTTCATTTTTTTACATCCAATCATGCACAAAAATAACAGAAAAACATCCAAGATGAGAAAATACTTTGGTCCGAAGGTAAATATGTGCGTCAAATGAATTATCAATTTTTATTCAATGGTGAATGTAGTCTGACGCTATGATCAATATTTATCAATTAAGTTTCAGTGGGGTGGTGGTGGGGGGGAACTAAAGGAATTAAGTTTCTTATCTAACATTGGACTTTTGATGTTGCCCCTTAGTATTGTCTTGTATTTATAGTATTGTATCACTGTGGGGATAATGTTATGGATACTTACTTACTTTCACAGGAATTCTCACTCGTAAACTTAGTAAATACGTTGAAATCCTAAGAGATGATGAAGTAGATCTATTAAGACCAGACTCAGCAGAAGGCTTAGAAAAAATGTTGGATATTGTAATGCATAAAAAACTGAAGATACCAAATTGGGTATGTGTACACTTGCTGTGTTGAGTTAAATCACATGTGGTACTGATGCCACTGTTATTGAATTATATATTTATTTATTTCGTTTGAGAAAAGGCATCAGAACTTATAGGCTGTAACAATTAATTGTTATGGTTTTGAATAAATCATAAGTTTATTTCTTTCTTGAAAATCGACCTCCCCAGCAGTCAACAAGCTGACTTTATTTTGGTGGATTCCATTTTGATTCCTACCAAATCACTCATGTTAATTGTGAATTTGGTTCAAACCCTACTATGTTATATTGCCTTTAAGGTGTTGTCACAAGCATATTTTTGTTTTCAAAGTAATTATAATTTTCTGGGAATTTGTCTGCTGTAATTTGCCAATATTTGAATGTAACCTAGCACATTGAACACCTGAACTCATATTCAAATCCCATGAAACATTACATCAAAGAAAATATTGCAGTTGCTTGTCCCTGTATTCTCTAGTGTCCTTGGATATAGAAATACAAATGTATTTGATGGAGTAGTAATATACATTTCTATTTATGATAGTATTTGAAGATTGCCAACGCTATTAGAAAACCTCATAGTGAATTTTATATGCTTTGTAAGTATGTTTGAATTGTTCATTCACAAAATTATATTTATTTGTTTGCCAAAACCAGAGCCATGCATGTTCTCACTAGAAAAGGTTTCAAATGATGCAAGTTGTTTCTGGTAATTAAAAAGATAATAATCTCACAATCTTGTTTTTAACAAGAGACGTAAATATAGTGGCCACTGGATAGTGTGTACACTAGCACTGACTTGTAGATAGGCAATGTTTCAGTTGACCATATGTTTCTGTAACACTCGTTGCGAATGGTCGTTGGTGGTGCCTCCATTATATTTAAGTTCCTTAATATGTTCACGCACATTCAGCCACTTGTCTTAAGTATTAAATACTTACGCACTTGTCGCTGCAAGGAGTTTTAACTGCATCCATGTTTAGAGTCTATTTACACCAATGTTCATATCTTTTATTTTGTCTCTTACATCAGCATGAATGACATAATAAATGTGAACACGATACAAATGAGGAACCAGCACTGTGCAAATAGGCTTGTGTGTAATGTAACTAAAGTGTCTGGGATAGGGTGTAAATACACAATTATTTATACACATACCAGTATTTGTAATGAAGTTTTATCTGTTGTCATTTGTGCTATGTATCTTTTGTGTAGATTGTCATTTTGTTGATCACTTTTTTTCATTTCATCACAGTAATGGAAGAAATGAAAAGTGAATCTGCACGAAATGCTCTGAAAGAAAAGTTAAAAGATATTAGGACTGAAACCCAAGTAATTTGGGGTGTCTGTGATGAGGTAATGTATGAATTAAAAACTTGTGTATAACTATAATAGTATGCAGAAGAAATGTTTTTTTTTTTATCTCTGACTAAATTGATTTTGTCTGCTCTTTCATGGAACAGATAAACACTATCATGAAAACAAGTCATTCAAATTATTTGAGAATTGCATCTGGTTTCAGTCATGCATGCACCAGTGTTGCATATCCCATTATTTTGTTGCTGGATTTTTGTGTGTCATATTTTAATTTTATCTTCTACTTATTACACAGATTATTGATGTTTCCGGGGCAAATGTGATCAAAGAAGCACTGGGAGATTTGTGTCGAGTTGATCTTTTAGACAATTGTGGCCACTCTGTTGAATTAGAACGACCTTATCGTACAGCCAAAGTTATGATGGAGTTTGTTAATAGTTGATTATGTTTGGAATTTCAGATATTTTGATTATTTGCAGGCATATATTTATAAAGAGTGAATTGGGATTTATTGAAATACAATTGTTATTTATTACCGATACATGGTATTGTTGGACTCTACACAATTAAATATGTTCCAAGTGTCATATTAGTTACTTTTATATGATTTGTTGTGTAATTGATAACAAAACGTTTTGTGAATATCAAATATCCAATATAAATTTGAATTCTTATTGTTTTGTATAGTTATTATTATTCATGTCATTTATGTGCCACTAGTGTCTTGCCAGGAATTATGTATCAAAATAATTTAATGTTTTGCATTTTTTGAGTTTATTTGTTAAAGAATGGTGGTTCTAGTGTACATTCATATATTGTATAAGTTTAAATTTAGGCTATTCACTTAAATGTTTGACGTTTTTCAAATACAACAGTTGTGATTACTGTCAGAGGAAAATTGATATTTTCAAAAATCATGACTGTTTTCTATTGCTTGTGTTACACTGACCCACCTGTAGTAACTGTATAACCAGTAAATACTTATGGTCAAATAAAAATGATCAAAAAAATCCTTCTTTGACAGAAAAACAACATTACAGAAACCTCATTTTGAACAAAATTTAGTTCAAAACGAACTGAAGGAAACAAATAATTTACACAATATAGGTTTACTATCTGCTATCCCAGATTGTCTAATGGCCTGTTTCTTAGAGACTGAAGCTTCGGATTTGAAATTTGCTTCAATAAAATGGCCTTGAAGTAGTTTTTTCATCTGGTGGAAGTGCTTCTGGTAGGGAGACCGCACTGGTAATTAAGTCATCTTTCATAAAGCTGATGTTTAATTCAAATGCCAATTTTCACTGAACATCCTCAAAGATTTACAAGCACTGGCAATGATCCCGGACGGACACATCCCCTAGATAAGTTTGAGAGATGTACTAAATGCATGCTATGCCAATCTACAAAATTTAGTTACTACTTGTCACAGATTAGTATCGATAATCAGAGGATAATTTGACAGAAAAGAATTCTAATATAGGTGAAGTATTTAATCTTATTTTACTTACTAAGAACTAATGAACATATTACATATTGATATTCTTAATTTCTTGCATTCGATCTGTGTTTGAAAAGAAATGTCAATTGCACAATAATCGTGATCCAGAGAGCTGCAATGGCCTTGTCATCCAGCAAAAGATCAAATTTGGCTATAGTGCTAAAGTTAAGTTACAGTCAATTTACAATGTCATAACAGCGAAAGTTGATGAATGTCAATATCTCTTTACTATTGAGTAACTCTTCACTAAAGAAATCAAACGCATTAGTGGACAATTTTGTACAGATTTACAAACCATAAAAAATGACTGAAAGACATTGATGTTGAGGACAACAATTTCGATTGCAAAGTCGGGGTGCTGAATATTACTGCAGGTAATTAACTTGCAAGATCTGATAAAATATCGAAGATGTGGTCATGTTTACACTGAATGACTGTATAGTAGATTATTTGAAACAAGCTACATCTAGTTAGGTAGGTATTTACTGCAGCTGAATGATCTGAAAGAATGGGAGAGTACTGACGAAGCAGATACGCAAAGCAGATAATTATAATGTCCGGGAAAATTGCGTACTATAAACGTCCAGTTGAATGGAAAGGGGCATAGCATAGGGAAAGTTGGTCCTGTAATGTTTATTATCATAAATAATTTCAGCAAATAAAACTTAAAATGTAGAAAAACGTAACATTGACAACATCTGGTAAAATATGTTGATGACGCTAAAGTACTTGATACAAAGAGTCGTAATACAGCACCTGTAGTTGCAGAGAGACACATTAGAAATAATTAGGGCCCGGTTCTAAAATAGAATACAAAAATCGAGAAAATGGACATTTGGTAACTGCTAATGTTTTGAATCATGCTGCTACATTCAACAATTAGAACTGGCATAATTTAAGGTATACTTGACCTGCATAGATAGGAGAAGAACAGTCTATTGACCTTGGAGTTAATGATTTAGAAATATAGAATCTTTTGAGGAGGCCAAAGAGACAGAGCTGGAGACTGACCGAAGTTTATAAGAAAGTGCCTGATCAAAGCCAAAAAGTGTATTTTTATTAGTTAGGTGCGCACAATGAAAAGTATCGATGATAATTTAATGCGGAGGCTATTAAAAGAGATTAACAATAATCTCTATTGCTCTTTGCACAAAACAAATGCAAATCTCACTCTAATATAGAAGAAATAGGGTGGCACATATCTGTCAACACAGAAAATTATCTTGAAATATCATGTTCCTACAAAAATGAATTGGGTGATATAATATATTATTATTATTGGTATTCAGGTATGCCACGTGGATGATTTACGTGGAGTGAAACCTCTCTCTCAAAACAATAAAATAACAAGTCAATGTCAATGACACGTCCCCGTTCCGTTCATATTTCAGTGACATATACATTCAAAGCAGATCATGACCGCAATGCACCTGCATATGTACAACACATTGTACTAAATCTAAACAAAATCCATCCATGCATGACTGAGATCCGGTTCCGGAATTGTGAAAATACGTGGTTTGATGCATTTTCGGCCTTAAAATGGCCATCATTCAGCTATTGTTAAGCGGATCATGAAACAAATGCGCATATATATTTGTGACATGATGTACCATGTGTGTGTGAAGTTTGAACTTGATCAAATCAGACATGTCTCGGATACGGATCCAGAACTGAATTCTTTAGAACAAAATGGCCGCCAGTCGGCCATTTCGAACTAGATCCGGAATAAAAATGACGTGCATCACGGTCCTATTATGTTTAATGTATGTACTAAATTTGAACAAAATCCGTCCATGCATAACTGAGATCCGGGTCCGGAATGGTGAAAATGTGCGATTTCAATGCATTTTCGGCATTATAGCGGCCGCCATTTGGCTATCGTTAATGAGATCATGAAACAAATGCACATACATATTTGTGACATGATGTACCTTGTGTGTGTGTGTGTGTGAAGTTTGAACTCTATCAATCCAGGCATGTCTCAGATACGGATCAAGAACTGAATTGTTTAAAACAAAATGGCCGCCAGTCGGCCATTTCGAAATCAAGGTCCTATTATGTTTAAAGTGCCTGTGAAATGGCTGCTATTTTCACGCCTAAAAATATCCATTGATACATAAATATTATTAATTTTTATGTTTCTAAGCATGAATTATTTTTTTAAGTGAAAAAATGTGTTTTCTATGGCAACTTTATTTTTGTGTATTTTAAAACGAGGCTCCTCATTAGTTTCTTATTTGCATACAGAAATTCCCCTTGTGACGTCAGAAGGGGAAGTCGCATGGCAGCTTGCATTGCCGATACGTGTAAATAAGGCAAATTTCTTGTGCAGTTTTCTCGTCTTTCACTTTCAATTTTCACTTATGTACTTGTTCGTCGAGGAATGGACCATAATGAACACATAGTATCAATTTTTGTTGCATGGGGTTGAGTTAGATGCGAAATATGTCCATTCTGGTGTAGCTGGTCACCGTGATCGTTACCGGCGCACGTTTGTACACTGTCGTTGGACAAAATAGAATTTGACGTCGGAATTATCTCGTTATTTAGCAGGTTACTAGGCACGTCACTACACTGTTTCATCAATCATTTCATCGATCGTCTGAGTTAAACTTTCAAAATTAAAATAAAAGAGAAATGTTTTGACATTCTAAACATTAGACTATAGTGATCACTATAAAATAATTAAAAACACGACAAATCACAGTTACTAAATAAATGACAGCCGCGTGGAAATAAATTGAAATTTTGTTGAAATAGGTGAACGCGTCGGGTCACCATGAGGGCAAGTGCGTTAAAAGCGGCGTTTAATTGGATAACAAAAATAATCGAGATCGACACACATACAGATAAATTCAGAGTAGATTCGAGTTAGCGTGATCCATGGCGTGATTGTTATAATTATAATATCATATTAACACTTTATTTGCTGGAAACACATTGACCAAGCCCGGATTCTTATTTCATAAATTATTACGCAGATCAAGGTAAAAGGAGTTAAAAAAAAGAACTGAGGTGTGAATTCGACATTCAACACCAATCACCAAACAATTCAGAAACTTTTAGCCTTTGAAAATGAAAACAATTATCAGTGTGTAAGGGCTGTGTGATGAAC